CTAGCTTTTGAATACAGATTCCAATTAGCTCTAGTCCAGACTAATTGCTCAGCCACTTCCACAAGTCCAACATGTTCACCTCAACCGCACACACCATCTTTGTTGGTTGAAGCCTTGGTAGCAGTTGTACCCTGGTTTGGCGTCCCGAACAGTGGACTCAGTGAAAGTTAAAATACATGACTGTTCACTGCCATTACCCTTAGGTAAATCCCCTACACGTGACTGTTCCGTTTCTGTTCCCCCAGTTGTGGTGCATGAGTGGAAGAATGTGTCCATCTGCTTCCAGAGCGGAGGAGGGTTTTCACCCTCTGACGATGTGGGCCACAGCGACTGTAACACCGTGGTAAAGATCAAGTTAACCAGAACTCCCCTTCCAGAGAGGGTTTACTTGGTTTGTGGGAACAGAGCCTACGGTTGCATGCCTTATGATACTTTTGATGGCACCTGTTATCTAGCCTATCTAATCCCTTTGATCCGTAAAGTAGAGACTGAGGAGATTGCAGCAATATTCCCTGCCCTACACAGAACTCGTAGAACCATCACAACAGGTCAGCAGCTGGCTAGCGCATTTCTGCCCTGGTACGGTATTTATGTTTCCCAGCAGGAAATTATAGCTCTCTCCAAGGTCGTGGAGAAGCACCTCAATGTGTCCAACACAGCCATGTTAGCTGAACACAAAGAACTGCAGGAAGTTAGAACAGTGGCATTACAGAATCGCATGGCACTGGATCTTCTACTAGCAGCACAGGGGGGTACATGCAAGGTGATTGGGTCTGAGTGTTGTTCTTTCATCTCTGATGCCACACCTGAGGTCATGGATATGGCTCATGATACTGCTAGGGGAATAAAAGAATTGCACGAAACTCATGGGTTTGCATTTGGGGATTTAACTGGAACATTTGGGTCATGGGGAGGGGGGATTGTAAAATTCATTGTTACCATTTCAGTGTTTATCATAGGTGTGCTAATCCTGATAATATGCCTAGTCACTGTAGTTAAACTAGTCCTGCGAAAGATTACCAAAGTCGCCCTCCAGGCCCCACAGAGACTAGTGGGGTACACCACCGTTGATGACACCGTGATGATGTACGACGCCGAGCTTCCAGACCCATGGGTCGCTGCCGTGGTTTCCGAACCATGGGTTCCCCCTAACAACGGATGACCAATGAATTAAAATTGGTGCTTAGATTAAAGAAAATATATTTGGACTTTTCCCTTTCAGGTTGTTACACTACACGACAAATATCTGACTTTTCCTTTTCAGATTTTGAACACTGTATTTGATTAAAATTAATGTATTGATTTTTCTAAGACTAAGTGCCTTACTCTTGACTAAAGCGTAATGAAGTAAACGTAAAGTAATCCTAAAATTGAGGACACTGCAACTTTGTGGATTACAGATTGATCAAATCACCTGTGAATGTTATGCCTTAGCTGGATCTCTTATGATCCTACGTTTGAAATGCTTTTGACTAGTGATTGCCTTAAAGCAAATCTTTAAGCTGTTTCTGGTTTTGATTTTATAGTTTGATAAATGACATTAACTAATGGTTTAAATGATAAAAGATATTAGTTTAAAACAAATATTTTGCTATTATGTATCTGTGTTTTATGTGTGTTCATTATTATGCTTTTGACAAAAGATGCTCCAAACACTGATGAGAGATAATTGTTCCTATTATGATTGCCTGTATCAATCATTGTGATTGAATGTTTCAATCTTACTCTACTTTGTGATGTAATTGAATGTAAGGTGAGACCACACTCGAATCTGAAGACGCCTATTGATTTAAGTATTGAATTATTAGACTAATGTTTTAAGGTTATCAAAAATGATAAAAAGAGAGGAACTGTTAAGGAATAATTCTTCTAGATATCTAACCTTTTACTCTGACATGTGTTATCTCCTTTAAGGAAAGGCCTTGGTGCCATATGTGTTGTTGTCCCCAGTGTGAGACCGGTCAACTTGACTGGCACGTAGGGTAATTGTTGTGAGAACACTGAGGCACTTCTTTATCGGTGTTTGTGGGCTCTAGGATGTGAAATCCTTGAGGCCATGAGCGTTGGACGCAGATGATTCAGTGTTTAGTCTACTCCTTCAGAGATGTTGATTTCTCTCTGTGAACCTGTTAAAAGGTCTAGCATAGAGAGAGGTTCTTCAGAATTGACGTGGCAACTCTACCGTGTGGTCAGAACCTCTGACTCTTTGATTTGTGATGTGAATCCTCCGGCCGAATACTCTGAATAAACCCATCAGTGTTTGACATCAAAGCTCCAACTCTCACCGTGTCTCCTTCCTGAGTCGGTGACTCCATGCATTACTACACAGAAGTTTCCTCCACATGTAGTGTCTCTACTTTAAAGAGTCCTCTCTTGCTGATGTTCAGGTGTATATCAGTATGTAGTGTCTCTACTTTAAAGAGTCCTCTCCTGCTGATGTTCAGGTGTATGTCAGTATGTAGTGTCTCTACTTTAAAGAGTCCTCTCCTGCTGATGTTCAGGTGTATATCAGTATGTAGTGTCTCTACTTTAAAGAGTCCTCTCCTGCTGATGTTCAGGTGTATATCAGTATGTAGTGTCTCTACTTTAAAGAGTCCTCTCCTGCTGATGTTCAGGTGTATATCAGTATGTAGTGTCTCTACTTTAAAGAGTCCTCTCCTGCTGATGTTCAGGTGTATATCAGTATGTAGTGTCTCTACTTTAAAGAGTCCTCTCCTGCTGATGTTCAGGTGTATGTCAGTATGTAGTGTCTCTACTTTAAAGAGTCCTCTCCTGCTGATGTTCAGGTGTATATCAGTATGTAGTGTCTCTACTTTAAAGAGTCCTCTCCTGCTGATGTTCAGGCGTATATCAGTATGTAGTGCCTCTACTTTAAAGAGTCCTCTCCTGCTGATGTTCAGGTGTATATCAGCATGTAGTGTCTCTACTTTAAAGAGTCCTCTCCTGCTGATGTTCAGGTGTATATCAGTATGTAGTGCCTCTACTTTAAAGAGTCCTCTCCTGCTGATGTTCAGGTGTATATCAGTATGCAGTGTCTCTACTTTAAAGAGTCCTCTCCTGCTGATGTTCAGGTGTATATCAGTATGTAGTGTCTCTACTTTAAAGAGTCCTCTCCTGCTGATGTTCAGGTGTATATCAGTATGTAGTGTCTCTACTTTAAAGAGTCCTCTCCTGCTGATGTTCAGGTGTAAATATATATGTTTTTACTTCATGCATGAACTTCTTTTCTGTTGCGCTTCATACGTTGTAACATTATAATGAATAATCCATAAAGAGCCTTTCAGAAGCTGCCAGACTCCCAGAGACCCAGTTTTCTTTCCTCTCAGCTCTAATTGCCTTTTAATGGGCTCTTTTATAACAATGGAAACCCTCTGACACTATCTGACTCCACTCTGATTTCGTTGTTATTGATGTCTTTATTCTGTCTCATGTAACTCCAGCTTTTGTTCGAACACAAGACAAAGCCTCTCTCTGTGAAACGACTCAGAGTCGCTGACAGCTTTGCATATGAATTTAGTTTGTGAGTCAAATAAATCCCCCCGTCAGGACGTTCTTGTGTTATGTTCACATTTCGCACCCTTTGGTAATGTTCGGGTAAAATTGACCCGGGACATATTTCAGGGTTTAAAAAAAATACAGAACTAAATTCAACATGCACAATTCTTTACAGTATATATATTGTCTTTAACTCATTCCCCAACAATATAAATGAAATATATGATTAGTTTTTGAAAATAGTCTTTGCTAGATCAAATTTAACAATGGAAGTGTCCATCATTTTTTGTGATAAAAATGTAATTTATGCTACATTGTAAAAAATATTTATTAAATTAAAATACTGTTATGAACACTATACAATGTCTTTATTTTGGTAGATACCAGAATACCAGACACAATGAATCTTTGTAATATATTTATGTTCTCTAGTTTAAATAATCATACCAGTATTTAATGTATGCTGGTCACCTGGAATCCTGGTAAGCTCTCAGCATGGTATATTTAATACTATTATTAAACATAAACTGGTGATAGATGGATGCTCATGGTGACCAGCACAGCATAGACCAGCATAGACCAGCATACTATGCTGGTCTATGCTGTTGTTTTTAGCTGGCCAGCATGGCTGGGTTAGCTGGCACCAGCTAAACCAGCTAACCCAGCTAACCCAGCTAAACCAGCTAACCCAGCTAACCCAGCTAAACCAGCTAACCCAGCCATCCAGCAAAAGTGTCCAAAACCCCTCTAAACCAGCCAGGCTGGTCAATTTAGCTGGTCAGGCTGGTTGACCAGCTAAATTGGTCTAAGCTGTTTTTTTCAGCATGGGTACGGCACGTTTTCGGGGGGTTTCAAACACATTTACTTCTAGATATTGAACCGAGTCCAGCAGATGTCAGGATTTCACAACATTTTTGGTGATCTTTAAATCAAGTGTTTTAAAGTCTATAAATCACTTTTAAATACGTTGTTTTTTCTAAATGTAAAAACAGATAATAATGTAGAAAGAACACAATTATATGTCAGAACTAATTAATAATACATGTATTCTTCCTTTTGTCAAAGCACTACATTTGAATTGTATTGCATATTTATATTATCTCGTTGTTTCAGATTTTTCTTTATTTTGTGTGATTTTTTTAATTTGTTGTTGTTATTATTATTTATAAGTCCTTTTTAGAATATCATTTGTTATCACTTTTACTACCTGTACGTTTAGAGGTAAATAAACTGCTGGATAATTACAAGCTTTATTTGTATCTTATACTATTCGGCAATAAACACTTAACTAAAGATCCCACATTCAACATTACATCATTAAACTAGTGTATTTAATTGAATGTAAACATTAAAAAATATATATTGTTATTGTATAATGTAGTGCAATGTCGATATTATTATTTTATATATACTTATTTCATTTTTGTAATCCTTAATGTACTATTTCCTGCATCATTTATCAAAAAAAAGAAAGAAAAGGGATTGGGTAATTTTGAGCTCCTGCACTGCGCATGCGCATCCCCAGCTGGCGGATGTTTGAGGAAGTTGGATCAACTTTCTCTACCTGTCCGATTTGAATCACATATGCTTCATATCTACCGCTACAGGTGAGTGTTTTACGACTTTATACCTCCTTTAATCTCCTTAAAACCTTATCTAACAACTAGTAAAGCATCTTTACCTGTAAAATATAACATTAACCCGTGTTTTTTGCCCCCGTGTGTCGCTGATAAAACTCACTTTAATGAATTAGCAGGTGCTAAGATGCTAATTGTTTTTAGCTTCCTGTTACCTGTAGGTGAGCTTTCCTGATGTTAGCATGTTAGCTACCTGATGTTTACCTTTCTGTGTGACTTCATAATGTCTTTAAAGTGTATTTAAAGGTCTCTCAGCTCACTTTAGTGGTCTTTACCTTTTAGTTAACCAATTAAATAAGTCACTAATTAGTTATAAATATCATAACGTGAAGCAGCAGTGATGGAAAAGTACTCTACTGTAGTACAAATATTATCTTCCTGCTACTCAAACTATTAGTAATACATCTTCTTAAATCAGATTAAGAAATCTACTAAAGTATAACCTAGCACCAAGCACCAACACAAGTACATTTACTATTAAAGTATACATTAAGTACTGCATTTAATTGTAATTTTGAGGTCATTTAAGGTAAAGTATTTCCATTTTCTGACACTTTATTAATTAAAATAATACCTTACAAATAACTGTTACTTTTCCTTTTATATTTACTGTTTTAATATACTTTTATTGTACTTTTACTTACTTGTACAGCTTTATTTTATATATATATATTGTCTTTCCCAAAGTGTAGTTTTCTTTTCTGTTTTTGAAGCTAAAGAATTATGTATTTGTGTTTTTTTTTAATCCGACTTTATAGGAAATGAATTCAACATCAGCTCTGGAGCAGCTGGCAGAAATAGGTGAGATCAAAACACTCAGAACATTTATTATGTTGTAGTTATTTAACAGAGTAAAATACAATTGATTAAAATGTAACTTCCATAAGAGACATGTCAACAACAACAAGAGCAAATACTCTATTAAGACCCAATAAAAAGCTATTTCACACAATAATGAACCCTTTTACTCTATAATCTGCAGCTTTGACCTTTGGGGGAAACTTCCTTGTTGCTTCACTTTTTGGGAAATGACTAACGGCTTTACGAGTTCAAATACAAATTAACTTCCAGTTCAGGATCCAGGTTAGAAAATGATTTCTAAATAACTTCCAGGTCTTAAAGGTCACCTATTCTGCAAAATCCTCTTCTTCATGTCTCTTCTTCATCAACATGTGTCCCCTCTTCTTCACGTCTCTTCTTCATCAACATGTGTCCCCTCTTCTTCACGTCTCTTCTTCATCAACATGTGTCCCCTCTTCCTCATGTCTCTTCTTCATCAACATGTGTCCCCTCTTCTTCATGTCTCTTCTACATCAACATGTGTCCCCTCTTCTTCATGTCTCTTCTTCATCAACATGTGTCCCCTCTTCTTCATGTCTCTTCTTCATCAACATGTGTCCCCTCTTCTTCATGTCTCTTCTTCATCAACATGTGTCCCCTCTTCTTCATGTCTCTTCTTCATCAACATGTGTCCCCTCTTCTTCATGTCTCTTCTACATCAACATGTGTCCCCTCTTCTTCATGTCTCTTCTTCATCAACATGTGTCCCCTCTTCTTCATGTCTCTTCTACATCAACATGTGTCCCCTCTTCTTCATGTCTCTTCTTCATCAGCATGTGTCCCCTCTTCTTCATGTCTCTTCTTCATCAACATGTGTCCCCTCTGTGTAAAGAGACTCTGAAAGTTTCAGGAACAAAGATTCTCTCTCTTTTTGATCCATTTCTATAAAAACCTGTCTGAAAATGAGCTGATCAGATTTTGGACACTTGATGATGTCATAACGATGTTTTGTCTTGTGTAACCATTAGCCAATCAGCAACCAAGGTAACCCCCCCCCCCCCCCCCCACCTTATCACCTGAATCTCCTCCTAGAGCACCATTAGCCACGTTCACACCAAGTACTTAGTGCCGGCACTTATTACCCCAGGGCACTTAGTACAGATCGCGTTCACACCGGAATAAGTCCCTGGGGGAGGATTAGGCAAATGAAGCCGCTGACGTCACTTCTTCTTCTTCTGCTTTGGGTTTACTGGCAGGCCGCAAACCACTTCACGGTGTATACTGCCACCCGGAGTCCCCGGCCGGAAGTCCCCGGAGTTGAGGAAGGCTTCAGTCGAAGCTGCTGGGACTCCCAGCAGCTTCTACTGAAGCCTTCAGAGGAAATCACCAGAACGCCGACACCTCCTCATCTCCACCGCTCCCATGTTTTCTTTTGTGTTGCCATAAGTTAGTCTCTCTCCGTTGGTGCGCGGGGCTAATGCTAATGCTAATAATGCTAATGGAAGCAAATAAAATGGCGGCTTCACGAAAACTTTTCTGAGTTTTACGGGGCGTGGTTTGCAATCCGCCCAGCCAATAGAAATTGGAACCTTTTCCTCCCCAGGAAAGAACCACCTCTCTAGTGGCGCATTTCCACTACACGGCCTCGCTCGGTATGGCTTGGCCTTGTTACATCACATGTTACTTGTTTGACGCTTTTATCCAAAGCGACTTACATACTCAATACTCTGGGCAATCCCCACAGGAGCAATTTGGGGTGAAGTGTCTCAGGGACACAACGACATGCTGACTGCAGTGGGGTTTGAACCTGTGACCCCCTGATCCCCACACCAAGGCTCTATCCACTGCGCCACACGCCTCCTCGTTAGGCCTCGTTAGGACTGGCTCACTTTATGGCGCATTTCCATTACAGTTTAGGAACTGGAGTAGTATCTATAGTAACGCAGTGTAGGCGGAGCCGTGACGTGATCTTCAATGAGAACCCCAGTAAAACAACACAGCCGTTAGCTGTTAGCACTCAGAGCTCACAGCTCCTCATATCTGTTCAGAAACTAGACAAAAGTGAAACAAGTACAAACCACAGACTGCCTGTGTCATGGTGAATACAGTCGCTGCTTTATTTATGTCTGTATAGGCCGTTGTTGTGAGTGTGGACGGTCGGAGCATATACTGCGTTAGCTTAGCCAATCTCCATTTAGAAAACACGCATTTTAAAAGGTGTTTCGCCTGCCGTCTGTCTGCAGACTTGTCAAAGCATTAATTCATGGTTTTTACTAACCGGTATCAGTATGTTGTTACTTCGGCATCATTTTGAAACGTGTATTACAATTAAATCACGGTCAAATATGTTCATCTTGTTGTAGTTGTAGCCCCCTTGCCAGCGCTCCTCTCTCTAGTTTAGCATACTCAGCCCGACTCAGCCTGGTTGTTGGCCCGGAAAGAACCTCGATTTTATGGGGCCAGAAAACTGTGAAATAGTACCCGCTAACCGGTACTACGCTAAGTAGAAACGCAACCAAAAACGGGCCCCGCACGGCTCGGCACGCTTAAAGCGAGCTCCGCGCTGTAGTGGAAATGCGCCATAGCAAGGGGTGAAAAGGTTCTCTTTGGTGTGAACGCAAAATACCAGGAACTATCGGAACTATTCCTGGGAAAAGTACTCCGGTGTGAACGCGCCCATTGTGTTCTTTGTAACCAAATCTCTCTCAGAGGGGCGTGGGGAGGGGCTCCTTATTTTCATCTAAAGTAACAGACAGAGAATCAGCACTTTGGAAACAGGGCTGAAACAGAGGGGATTATGGGTAATGCTGCAATGATCTGTTTGGTGTTTCAGCCAATCAGAGACAGGCTCTGGATATATCTGAGACCTGGGATATATTGATGAGAAACAGTATAATAGGGGAGCTTTAAGACAGGTATTATCCATCATGAGTCTGTGTGTTAACAGCTGTTCTAATACAATAACAAATATAAAAATATAGTCATTTTGTAATAAAAGTCAGTATTTATGTTGAGTTTTGGTGGTTTCACAGTATTTTAGTTTCTCTTCTTTCTCTCTGATCTAAAAGCAGCCGTTTGTCCGCTCACTTCCTGTCTGTTATCTGTGTTTATATAGAAAACTTCCCTCAGCGCTGCACGAGAAACATTATCAAACCCAATCTAATTTCATTTAGAAAGCCGTTTAAACCCTCCAGACCAAAGTGCTGTTCAGAGAAATAGAAAACCACACAGCGCAGCTCACAACACACACACACACACACACACACACACACACACACACACACACACACACACACACACACACACACACACACACACACACACACACACACACACACACACACACACACACACACACACACACAGGAAAAGTCAGATAAGGAAATGGTTCTGTAAATGTCGGGCGGAGCAGAGCGGGAAGCTGAGATTAGAGGCTTCATCGTAACCACTGATTTAACATTAAAACCAGTTTTCTATCTTTAACAAGTCAGTGAAGATGAAAATGTGAAAACCGGTTCATTTTGTATAAAAAACATGTTAAAACAAGACGTTCTTAGTTAACATGAAGCTGCTCTTTTCTGCTGGAACAATGTCCATGTCTGATAAAGGTCTCCTGAATGTTTCTAATGTGTTTCCTCTGGTTCAGAGCTGCAGAAGGAGGAAGAGGAGGATGAAGATCAGAGCTGCGTGACAGACGGTCCGTCGACAAACAGCTGCAGTTCGGATCCGTCTCACCCGTATTATGACGTCGCCCGACACGGCATCGTGCAGGTCTGCGGTCAGTAAGAAATAAAAACATCTTTTCATTTTAAGAATTAAATATTCTTATCGTACCACATTTTATCGTTTGTGTTTATATCATTTCTGCATATTAATATGTTTGTTTCATTCTGTATTTAATTTGATAAGATGTCTCACATTTCAATGTAAAATAATATTTTATATTCTTTGTCAATTATTTATTTTAAATCATTTTTGTAAACATTTTAATTATTTATGAATCATTATTTTCTTACTCTGCATTCAAGGGAATAATTTACTCAATTATATAATATATAAATTATATTGATTTCTTTATTTTAAATATTTAATACAAATGAATGTAAAAATAAATGTGGTTTAAAAAGACATTTCCATCAACAGAAAATGATTTAGAAAACATGTAAACAATGTGTTTTCAGTCAGAATTTACATCAGAGGAATATGTTTAAAGACCTCCTGCATCTCTTTCAAATGTTTGTTTACGTGTGTTCTCCCTCCAGGTGACGACAAGTTCGGCAGGAAGTTGATCGTGTTCAGCAGCTGCTGTCTGCCTCCGTCTCACCAGCTGAACCACCGCCGCCTGCTGGAGTACGGACACTACTATTATTAATGATGATGACACACTCTGTGCGGGTGTTAACGTGTGTGTGTGTGTGTGTGTGTGTGTGTGTGTGTGTGTGTGTGTGTGTGTGTGTGTGTGTGTGTGTGTGTGTGTGTGTGTGTGTGTGTGTGTGTGTGTGTGTGTGTGTGTGTGTGTGTGTGTGTGTGTGTGTGTGTGTGTGTGTGTGTGTGTGTGTGTGTGTGTGTGTGTGTGTGTGTGTGTGTGTGTGTGTGTGTGTGTGTGTGTGTGTGTGTGTGTGTGTGTGTGTGTGTGTGTGTGTGTGTGTGTGTGTGTGTGTGTGTGTGTGTGTGTGTGTGTGTGTGTGTGTGTGTGTGTGTGTGTGTGTGTGTGTGTGTGTGTGTGTGTGTGTGTGTGCAGGTATCTGAAGTTCACTCTGGATCAATACGTGGAGATGGACTACATCCTCGTGTACTTCCACCACGGCCTGAGGAGCGGAAACAAGCCGTCGCTCAAGTGGCTCAGAGAGGCGTACGCAGAGTTCGACAGGAAGTACGTTTGAACTGCTTTTACTGGGGAGGGTTAAAGGTGGGGTAGGTAAGTTTGAGAAACCGGCTCGAGATCGCTAGAATTTGAAAATACACAGCCGGAGAAAATCTGCCCACTTCCTCACAGAGCCCCTCCTCCAACACACACGAACGCGCACATGACCAATGAGGGCACGAGATAAGTTTGTGCACAGATGGAAGGCTGACAGGCAGGTAGGCCATCCAGTTATTTTAGCCGGGCCGGCTCAGATGATTGGTCGTGCTTTTTACAGTACTACAGCTTCCACAGATGATATTTATTTATGGATTTTTTGTCAAAGCACTTCAGATATTCATTGCTATCGGGATGTTAAGAGCATTCCATGGAATATAACAAAAAGTGTATCTCGAGCCGGTTCCTCAAACTTACCTACCCCACCTTTAAGTATTTTTTATCAAGGTATGAATTAATATGATATAGTATATTACACATGGATAATTCCAAGCAGCAATGGATTAAAAAAGAAAATGTTCCTCCAAAGTTTAAACCTTTCACTTTACAAAACAGTTTTTTTACCTTATTGATTTTACTTTCCAGTTTCTTTTATTTTAATATTCTTTACATGTTTTATTTATTTGTTCTTTAATATTTATATAAATATATTGTCATGGCCTGGCTCTTGGCCATAACAAAAGCGTGGAAAGGACAAGATGTATTACAATAACCCAACGCTAACACAGAAGCTACCCCAATGTGATGTGTCAGTAAGATCAGTAGTGTGAACGTGGTGTGGTGCGAGGTGATCCTCAGCGGAGAGAGCGATCGAGACCATGGGTGTTTCTCAATGTCGAGGACGCTTCCTTGGTAGCACATGTCTTCCGAGTCACTTCCTTCAGTAGCGAGGCAAGAATCCTTCCTAGCCTCGGAAAATGAAGAATGGTGGAACAGGCTAACAGGTGTGCGTCATATGCGAGGCCCCGCCTTCAATGGAGCGCGATTTCCGCCAACGATTTTGGAATTTGGTCCGTGCGCAAAGCATTGTGGGGGATTTTTAAGACCGCGGAGGATACACATGTGCAGCCTCGAAATTTCCCGCTACGAAGGACGCCGGCCTCGGTAGGATTACAAGTATCCTGGACGTTGGAACAGTCCTTCGGCGGCACTTGATGACATAGCATCCTTGAAATAGTGGCTCTGGAGGAGCCTTCCTCCACATTGAGAAACACCCTCTGGCTCGGGCCTTTCACTCCTCCGGTACGGCGGCCAGGTTTCCTCAATCAGCGCTGATAGGGAGGAAGGGACACCTTTAAAGGGCCAGGCACACACAACAGGAGAGAGGAAGGCGGGTCGTCACACGTTTATTTGAAAATATTTGTATAGATACATTTTTTTTAACTTTTTTTTTAAACATGTATTAAAAACATTTATTTAAAACATTTTAAAAACGTTTATTTTTACATATTTATATAATAATAGGGTGGAAGTGAATTCATAATTTTACTTAATTATTTGATGTCATTATTCCAGTTGTATGCACTCTGTACTCTATGTTATAAATTATTATACTTTTATTTGCACTGATTTGCAATATTTTATTTTATTATATTTATATAATGTAATGTATTTTATAAATTATTTTATTGTCTTTTGCAGAATTTTGTTTGGAATTATTTGGCTGTGCGTTCTTTTTTTAATAATTTGCATAAAGAATATTTGATGAGATATGTTTGTTGACACCGTCTGCATCTTCTGTAATTGTTTGTTGTTTGTTGACAGATACAAGAAGAACATGAAGACTCTGTTCGTCGTTCATCCAACGAACTTCATCCGGATCGTCTGGAACATTTTCAAACCTCTGATCAGGTGAGAACACGCCGTGCTCTCTGAGTTGATCACACGTCCAGATACTGAACACACTCACGACTCGACTCCCGATATTAAAGGGGACCTATCATGCAAAAGTCACTTTTTGATGTCTTCTCTACATCAACATGTGTCCCCGGTGTGTCAGGGAACTCACGCAGCGTCAGGAAATAAAACCCTCTCTCTTTTCCTCCGTACCCAAATCTCTAAAAACGGGGGAACAACGGAGCTGATCCAGATTTGCGTCAGATATGACGTAATATCTGAAATGTGGACCCACGGCC